TCAGCTGTAAGGAACCCATTAGCCCTCTTGTCGTCTTCAGAGAAATAAGACTTCAAGCAGTTGTCAGAAACATATCACCTTCTACAGCCTCTTTAGAGAAAAAACCAACAACTAAAAAGCCTGTGAAATATAAATGCAGGGCATCTTACACCTGCTTACACTTGCAGCTTTGCAGGATTCAAGACAGCAGGTCTCAAACAAAGTCAATGTAAAGTAGTTGAAGATTCAGAGTTGACGCAAGGGCTTCCAATGGCTGGAGCGCTTCAATGCAGCTCAGGGCATCGGTGCATGCAGAGGAGGAGTCAGGGAACAGAGCGGTCCCTTCATCAGATCACAGACCATTACGTTACCTGCAACATGCCCTGCCACCAGCAGAGCGGACAAATCTCAGTCTGTGCACAATCAAATCCCACTTATTGTAAACGTGTGGTTTTACCAATTTCTATTGCACAAACCTTTAATAGATCCATTTGAGTATGCAAGCATAATGAAGCAAAAAAAAGGGGGATTTTATTTGGTGCTAATTCACCACATGCAAATTCCAGCTGTTTACTGTAGACCTACCGCCAAGCATACACTTCTTCCCACAGCTCATCAGAAAGCCTCTTGCTGGTGAAAGTGGTTAATCCACAAGATTTTTGTTGCTAAAGCCAAGACTCCAAATGGGGGGTTTAGGTTACTAATGACAAAAATTTTGCGTTCTTTAACTACTGAATACTGTAAGGGATTGTCCATTTACAGAAAACCACCCTAGAAGTGGTTGCTGGCAGAAAAATGGGACCAGAATAGAAGAAGCTGTTACCAGGCAGGACAGAGATGCACCAAGCAAAGCAGCAGTGAACAACAGGCTAGGAAAAAAATCCTGTTATCTGGCAGCATGAAACAGCCAAAGTAAGCGACAAGTTCCTCAGTGCCTGCCAAGCAAAAGCCTTGTGCTAAAATATCCTCCTGTGCCCTGGACAACTTACAGCATCTGACCCAAGGCTGGAAACACAACTTGGCCTTATGCCTCATTGTGATGCCTCATGCCACCGCACGACAAAAGAAACGGCTCCTTTAATAACTAGGTTTGGTGTTCTGTGTTATTCCTATCCCAGAAGCAACCAAAACATCCAGCCAGCATTAGAGCCCTATGGTGCTAGTTTCTCTGCAAAGAATGCATTGCTGCAAGTTATTTGCAATTTATAGAAAACCAAACAGAAAACCTCTAAGGGGATAAAAGAAAAGAGTGAACTGAACAAGTGCAAAGCTGCTCCATGGGCATACAAACCTAAATCTGATTAATATATTATAACAACCCCAGACCTCATTACATCCTGTTCTGTGATCATATACATTTATTTTAAGACTCTGCGTAGCACTGCATTTATAAATGGAAAAGCATACTGGATAGCAAATGGTACGTAAGAAGGGATTTCAGTTTTGATGTGAACTTTTGAGAAGATCACAAAATTCAAGAGAGATCAGTCTACAAATCATCTTTACAGTTACCAGATTGTGGCTCTACTTAACCCTTCTCTAACACAATTCAGCAGAAGCACTTCCCTCTGGCTGTGAACAACAGGAAAAGCTACTGAAGGAACATGTAACATGAAAAGATCTAGCTCCCAGAAGAATCACAGCATCTGCTTTTGCTCTCCCAAAAAGCACAGGGAAATAGGCATCATTCAGGTCAGTTTTATAATTGCTCATGTGGTTGCAAACTGTAGTTAATAAAAATACTGAGATGTGGGTCACTGCTGTGGTACTAGTTAGAAAAGTAAGAGCATAGCACCATAGCTACAGGTGCAAGAAGACCGCTGCCTCTCTTGAAAAAAATAACTCCAAAACTGCCAGCATTAAATTTTTAGGGAAAGTTGCTCACTGCAAACTACAGGAACTGCTTCTGGTTTGCCCACATCTTTAAAGCCATTTGGTACTGTAAAGTGGCTTTCTCTAGATGTAAGAATAGCAAGCATGCATTAAACTTCGGCAATTATGTTTTGATAGCTTAATAAAAATTATTAGTATGAACATTTGCAAAAAAACATCAGCTACAGATCTATCAAAATGGACACAGGCTTGAAGAGCAACACTCTGAGACACAGAAAACATTTCGTATCTCACGATGCTGCGCAGTGGATGCTTACACAAAGAATCCACTAGAGAACAGCAAGCAGCTGTAGTTTCACACAAGTTCTCCAATTTCCCTGCAAGAAGAATTTTTCATGAAATAAGAAGTCAGAAGTGCTTTCCCAACACAGCAGTAGAAACAGCTCGTACTTTCTCATGACTGGCCATACTCTTCCCCCACCCCCGCCAAGGGCCAATGCAATCCCTGCACCTTTATGCTACTGCACTGCGCACACCCCAACACCACTGTCCTCGGGGATCTCAGACCTCAGTGCTGCACTGCAATTAAAAGAACAAAGTAACCCAACAGAGATAATTTGCTAGTACCTACATCCTCTAGCACCTACCTTTCTGACCACAGTACGTTACATCGAGTTAGCTTACATCCAGCTCATTTGCAGACTTTACTGACCAAAGCCTGGCACAAAGTCAGGAACACACAAGACCTTTTCACACAAAGACAACTGCTTGGGTGAGAAAATTGGAAAGACCCCTTTTTCAGATGCCCTTCTCTTTCTAACAAGTACAGATTTAACCAGAGAATCACATCTCACTACACTTAGCTACATGCACTGACTTTCTTGATTTTATCTTCTCCAGCCTGATAAACATTCACTAACTTACAGTAAGTGGATCTACAGAAGAGATTGATTGACAAACCTCAAAAGTTTCACAGATACCTAAAGGCGTGACAAGAGTCTTTTCCACAGAACAAACATCAGGAGAACAACCAAATATGGCAGTAAGAAAACAAAACCAAAGCAAAACTCTGAATCTCACTTTGAAGCCACTGTACCATGGTTTGCTGAGGCCTGATTCACTGCTGGAGCACTGGGCTGGATCTCATGGCTCTGAAGAGCCCATGCTAGATGCTGGAGTTAACTCCAGTCTTGTCCATAGCCTGCTGTTGGTAACAACTGTTTTTTGAAGGACATTTGCATTGTCACTTCAAAACCCTTGGGTCAGATGGATTGGGGGAAAAATACAATTTGGCTAAGAAATTAAAAAAAAAGATACCTTTTCATGTTTTTTTATGCAGTTGCTCAGTCAACCCTTCTTCCTACTTTGTAAAATAAGGTATAGGTTCACAAAACTCCCATCTGGACAGAGCTGGGCTACTCACTTCAAGGCAGCTACTCATTTCCATGGGCTAAACTTCATCAGCAGACAATTAACATACATTAAATTCTTTGGCAATGATGTTTTCCCAACTAAATTCCTACCAAGGTGATGTTCTGCAAGTCCTCATAATGAAGGAATGAAGAAGCAACAAACACCACTTTCCATTCCAGATTCAAATCCATACTGCAAGTCGACATCCGTTATCTTCTAAGAAAATTAATCTCCTATAGTAATAGACTGGAAAAACTCAATGATTTTTGCAAACACAGATGCAAATTTGGAACTTCAGGACATCTGCAATCACCAAACAGGCAGTTGTTACTACTGACCCACGTACAAGCATTATTGTGCTCAGTGCCATTAATGGAGAGTATTTCATTTGTTAGAGCAAAGCCAAATTTTAACATCTACACACTTAATTCCTCTTCGGATCAAACTTTATTGCTGCCTCTTGCACTTTACACTCCATAAGCCCCTCTTGCAGAGCATCCTCCTCCAGTCCAATTAAGATTCTGCTTTCAATTCCTTCTGTAAAGTCTGCTGTGCTCCTGTCTTCTCCCAGCTGCATCAGCAGCTAGGATGACCATAGATGGAGCACGTTTGGCAGGTGAAATGACCCAGATGCTGAATCTGGAGCCATCTTCCCAGCTGCAGTAGCTGGGCTCACATCCGACTCCTCAGCTGTTGGCTGTCAAGCTGCCCCCAGGCTGTGCCAAGCATACATCTCAAAGCTTTGACCGAAGTGGGGCAAACGCTCTAAATCTGTGAGGCCTGCTGACAAAAAGGATAATGAAGACCAAAGGTTTTAAAAGTAGGCCACGAGGGAAACCAAACACCCTTCCTCCTTTCTCTTCTATCCCTCATTTTATTCCACAGTCTCTTTTCCCCTATTAATAAAAATACAGGAAGAGCTGACTGGTGAGAGCGGGTCTAATGTACCATGTCCTAGTCTGAGGTACGTGACTAGCAGGAGTTTCCCCTTCGCTCAACAACACTACATGCACTGGAAGGTGGCTCATGTACCTCTGCATCAAGTCCAGGCACAGCAAGGGCTGGGAAATAATCTTTATTGAGGGAAAGGTGGAGACAGACAATTTCTTTATTTTATTACTCAATCTTTAAGCCTCCTAGACATCTTTAAACCATCAAAGCTGCAGAAATTCTCATGCAAATCAGGAGTGACTATTTAATATCCTATTCCTGACCAATTTCATCATGATCTTGAACCCAAGAAGGGACTTCTACATCCTCCGCACCTCCTCACTGAGGAGCAAAAGAAAAGGCTTACCTTGATTCAATGGCCTCTGTCATTCAACTACCACTATGTGTTCTGATGTAGATTTAAAGGAGAGTGTTTGAAGTTTTGGCCCTTTACCTCATTTCTGCTCGTCCTGGCACAGTACTCCACACATTGATAAAATAAACCATCCCCACCCTCCAGTAAAGTACCTCCACACGGCCTATTTGCTACAGACAAAAAGAAGTCTCTTCTGAAATGGCAAGCCGAACTTACAAATGCCTCTTTCAGGTTTCTTGTATATATTACATACATACATACTGTACCTGTTAGAGCTCCTGAAAGGAAAACACTGCTTTAGAGAAAGTTTGTTTTCTAAAATATCACATTTAATAGTGGAAAATATTTCGCACATTTGTTATTAAATAGCCTACGGCTTGCTATAAACCTAAGCATTTCAAAATTAAAAATAAAGACGATCTTCCAAGTAAAAGGAGCAGCATCAAGTTAATTCTGCCCAAATGTTTTTGTAAAAAACAAGTAGCGTTGTTTAAGACACAAAAGTAATACACGTTTCCATTTTTATTTACTACTGAAAACAGTAGTTCTGAAGCTAACTTTACCCCCGCAGCACTTAAAAGTCACTAAACTGAATTACAGGCACTAAGAACCTTCCAGACTTCAGGTGCAAGAAGTGGACTGTATTTTAGGAAAACCAATTCAATTTAACAATGTATTAGTAAAGTACCATTTCTTTCCTTTCACCCTCTTCTTTCAAGACAAACGTCTCCTCCAAATCAGAAGATCTGTAATGAGGAACCAGGCAACAATTTTTACTCTCAGAGATTTCTTGTGTGATCGTATGCAAGGAAATTAACATCTGTCAACCTCATTTTCTTTATATGCAGTCTGAATTAGATGTTGGGGGAGGGAGGAAGAGGCAACTTAGATTTCAATAATTATTAGTAATTTCTGTAATTGAAAAATATATATAAGCACTCAGTTTGCAGATCCAAAATACACGAAGTAAAAGAAGGCTACTACTCAGTTGAACTGGAACTCCAACCCTCATACCCACTTGCTCTGCAGTATTTGGAGAAAAGGCAGGATTTGCAGCGCTCCGTCCATGAACAAATCCAGGCCCTGCTAAGCTCCAAGGAAATAAAAGTTGCAAAACAGAACATGCCTTACAGAGCCAGACACCTATTTCTTTATACAGTACAGACTCCAATTTCAATCCCCTGAAGTAGTAAACTACAGTAGTAGTGTAGTGTGTAAAAATGACAAAATGAATAGCCAGTACATAAAGCCAATTTACAGGACTCTAGAAAGCATACAGAAGCTTTCACCAGATTCCTATCTTAGTTAATAAAAAATAAATCTGTGTATTAAGCCCTTCAGAATAGAAACTACCTCTTAACTGTTTCTACAGTACATAGCAAAAGGAGACCCACAACTGGTAGTTGAAAATGCCAGAAAATCCCAAAATGAATCATGAGTTCTGCTTTGAACTGCTGTATGGGGAATCTTCTGTCCAGGTGACAGCCTGCCACTGCAGAATTTTTATTTTTATTTTTAAAAAGTATGACATTCAAAAAATTCTTGTTCAAGGCACTGTAATTTACACCTACAGATTAGCACTGCATTTAAGAAAAATCCTAACAAAACAACTTACTGCCTTTCCACTGCTACATCTGTCAGCGTGAAAAGAGACTGCCACCCAGTGGACTACAACCAAGTACATCAACTGCAAGCCACGACATTCAATACAGAATTGCTGAAGATTTTATTTTTAAGAAAAGTGCAGTTATTTGGGGATTTTTCTTGTTAATATATAACGTTTCAAATACATATATTCACTTGTCATTCTGCCCTGCACCTAAAAAATCAATATCTGCATGAAGGCACTGTACATAAAAAGCTTTTCAGAATTACAAGAAAAAATAATCTACCAAATCAAGCTTTCAGCAGAGAAATAGTTAACTAGTGCAATCACTCCATTCAGAGGTGGGTTATGTTCTAAATGTAGCCTCTGCCATCCCTGGGAAGGTTTAAACAGAATTCACCTGTAATATGGCAATTCCGAATAGCATACACAGATAGTTTAACACCTCTTGAGGTCTGGAGTTCATTTGTATTTGTAAAATCCTTCTCCAGTCTTCTTACCCAGCTTCTTCTCTTTTACCAGTTTATTCAGGAGTGGGCTGGGTGCAAAAAGAGGATTGTTGGGCTCTAATGAATGCCATCCTGGTCGAAGAAAAGAAGTGGATGAATTAGTAACAGTTCTGTTTACATGCAGAGATAATAGAGATACGCACCTCCTTAGAAAAACAGTAAGAGGTCAGAAAACTGACAGAGGTTTGGAACTTAATTCTAGGCTCTCTGAGACCCTTCAATACAGCTTCATAGAGCACAGATCAGTATTGATGATTATGAGCAAACCTAGCAATTAGTCTTTAGGTGCAGTCTACTCTGAACACCTTATAATCTCCGCAACGGAGGATTTTTAATACTTTTTAAAAAAAAAAAAAAAAAAGGTAACTTCTGAAATACAGGTAAGTACAAGGAATTTCTACCTGTGAAAGACACAGTCAGTTAGAATAATTTAACAGTACTCCACAGTACTGGCTAAAAGCAAAAGCTGTTTCATTGAAGATGCCATTCTGAAAGTGACATTCTGCCTCAGAGAATATTTAAGCTGCTCATTCATACAACAACCATCAACAAGCCACCACCAATTACGTCTTTTTTTGTTATTGTACTGACATTCATCCACGTATCAACTGAAGTGAAAGCGAGATGGTATACTCGCATCTTTGATGGTATTTACTGGGTTTCCTATCAATTGAGGATGAAAATAAGGCTGGCAGAAATAGGATACAGAGTCTCAACATTTGTTGCTCTTCATCAGAATTTCTTACCTCCAGTACACATCTCTCTTCCCACTGATTCTTTTTAGATATATAAAAAGTTCCACTAATGTTACTATTATTTTCCACTGGAACTTGACAGTCAGCCAAGCCACCACTGTTCTGTCCCCATGTGTGTAGGGTACAGGTATACAGTACAAATGTTGTACTCATACAGCATCCTAAGCTGAATTCTCATTCCTTTCTCCTCAACAGTTAAAAGACTATGCCATAAGCATTCAGTTTAAACTAATTAAGAGTCAGATGAACTTTCTAATGAAAATCTACAATGTAGCTAAAAAGGGGGAAAATAGAAGAAAATAAGCGTGCAGTACCATCTATAATATATTTACTGGTATCCAACCCAACATAGTCCAGCAGTTCAAATGGACCCATGGGATAGCCAGCCCCAAGCTTCATAGCAACATCAATATCTTCCTTTGATGCATCTCCTACAGAAAAGATTGACAGTTTGATGAACAGAGAAGATTCCGCATCTACTTGGCACCACTTATAAATAATTAACAGGGTGATATTTCACTCTGGTGCAGCTCTTCACAGAAATCTCTGCACGTTTCAGAACCACAAAAACTGGAGTCACATGCTGGGAGCATAAAGCTGAATTTCTCACAAAGAAAAAAAACCCAAAAAACCCTGTGGGCCTGCTTTCCATTTTTCTGGCTTCCTCTTGCATTTCAGTATAGATCGCTACACTATTGATGGAGCCACAGCTACTGTGCTCAACCTATCAGAAAGACCAGAGGAAGAACTGGTCACTATGAAGAATCAAGAGCTTTTTTTTTTGAGGCAGCTGAACAGTCTAAGTAAGGAAAGATCTCAATTTGAGCTTCAGGAGATCAGCAGCAGCTTTTGAATGATGCACAGGGCAGAGCTACCCTTACTCTACAATAGCCAGAAGGCAAGTGGTATCCAGCTGATGGACAAGGTGGGCATGCAGGGGGGAGCAGTAGCAGCTGAGTAACATGCTTAGTTACAGCAGCTTTCACCGGAGGATGTCACCAGCACCAGAGGCAGCAGCTAGGAGTGACCTGAAGAGACTGTACAGGTGCAGTTAAATTTGTGAATTCAAAAAGTATTCAAAAAGAAAAAAATCAAAATTATCAGAAATCTGTTACTTCTACTTCAGTCTGTGCCTATAAAAATACAAATCCTGCATTGCCACATTGTCACAGTTAATATTCACCTCATTCTTTTGCCGGGAATGCATATTTCATGAAAGTAGATGCGCCTCTACTGCTTATTTCTAATACATATTTTGATAAAGGCAGTGCACTTCTTTGCAGATCCTATAAAAAGTATGAAGTTAAACAAATACCAGAGGTACTTCTTAAGTAACCTCCATGCTCGATGTGTGCAGGCATTCAGGGTGTCAAAGCTTGGCAGACATAACCTATGCAATTTATATGCCTAAGATCAGAGAATCTTAGAAATAAATTTTCAAAATCTCTCATAAAGGCAACAACTTCAGTGAAAGTTCTGTATGTGGTAACATTTTTTATGTATCTCCCTTTACGCTTTAAAGCTGACAATTTTTTTTTTTTAAAAAAAAAACCCCACATTTTATTTCTGAGAAACTGGAAAAATTAGCCTTACTTAATTCTACCATAATTTCAGTTCCCCAAATTCAAACACACAGAAATCCTCAACTCACTTGAAGTTGATGCAAATGTACATACTTCTATCAACAGATTTGTCCCACTTTGTTTGTCAAACCTGGGGCTTGGACACCTGACAGTATACAGCTGCATTATAATATAATTAAAAATAGCAACAGGGCAAACAAGGGTCGTACACCTCGTTCATACTATGTCTCCTAGTATAAAGCTGATTTCCAGAGAAACTTGACTGACTGCTTTTTTGGTTTTCCACTAAGAATAGGGCAGTACAGACCACCATACATTAATATTTATAATATGCCCGCTGTTTAAATCACTGTTAATATACTAAAGGTATTTTGCCTATACAAAAGCGCACATTTAACCCAAGGAGATTTTGTATAAATAAAGACTCCAGGAATGATCCAATAAAATGGTATTTCAGTGCTTGGGGTTGCCAGGAAAGAGACTCAAATTTCATACTAATGTGGATGACAATCTGGCTCAACCATCTACTCTGAGAATTAACACAAAGGATATGATAAAAATTCAACCTAATTCAATGGAAAACATGAATCAGAAGACAGCCATCAGGCTTTTCAAAACATTAATCAGCTTTTTAAATAGATTTCATTAGAGTTAAAAATTCATAAATTATCTTTAACAAGTTTGGAAATATACTGTTGAACAAAACACAAAAAGAATAAAGATGAAATCAAAATATTGTTTTGTTTGGCAAAGAACAGTCAATTTTTAACATACAATCTCAGCAACTGTTTTCTTCTACATTTAATTAAAAGTTCTATTGCCTCCTGAAATATGCATAATGATAGTTGTCACATGAAGGCACCTCTTTTACACACCACGGAACACCCATACACTTCACTTAAAATTGTGACTTTTTCTAAGAGAATAACGCCCCCTCGCATCCTTGCCTTTGCCTTTCAAGTCACTAAAATTGCTCTTTTCTCCCTCTGAGATGTAATTAGGTACATCTGTTGATGGATAAACAAGTAGTGTTGGTTTATATTTTTTTCTGGAGATCAAACCATCCCTTCCATGTGCTATAAAAGACATTTTTAATATTTAAAGCATACTTGGTGGAATCCTGATAATGGAGTGCTTTCATCTGTAAAAAAGCAGTGATTTCAAAAACAAAATGTTTCAAATGACATTCTTAGTAGCATGCAGCTATGAGCAGAGCACTTGAAATAAAAGCAGTTATACTCCATAATTTCCTTTTTATCCACTACATTATTGGCTTGTTTCCTTTTCAAAACAATTATCAATGCTTTGAAAAAATTAGTGGTTCTTTGGAGATTTGCGATTATTTCTACCTACCCTCAGTATTAACTTAAGAGACCAACAGTGAGATGGGAATTCCTAAAGAACCTATGTCTAAAGGAGATAGAAAGTGAACAGGAGGTTTTGTGGGGCAATAGTTGAGCACAAATCACTTGTATGCCGGTACCACAGTGTGACACCGAGTATTATACTACTTACCTCACCTGAAAATTGGTGTTTTATTTCACAAGCCCAATATATTGAACTTTGCTAATGGTCCCATTATGGTATTTTCAACCACTTTCTTTAACGTCTCTTGGGATGGAGAGAGGGAGGGCCCTGATCAGTTGGCAGAGGATATTTTTACAATGGCACTACAATCACTTTGTCACCTCCAAACCAGAAACATTTTCCACCACCAGAAATTTCCCACACAAGTAACGAGTACCTTCCAACTCTGCATACACTGACATTTCAAAAGTGAAGACAAGGTCTTTCCAACTACACATACTGGCTCATATTTGATGTTCACTATTGACTTCCAGCCTTTAAGGTCTGAAAGTTTTGCGGGAATTCCAAGGCTTTCCTGAAGGGATATAACATTTAGCAGTGTTATATGTCAACATTCCCTGAAGTTAATATCCCAGCAAGTACCTCTCTCAAAAAGTCGAACAGCTTCCATCATATATGGCACCAAGAGACGGTTTACAATAAACCCTGGAGTATCCTATGAAAAGAAAAAAGGGATTCTAAATAAACATCCTTTACCAGTACTACACTCAAATGCTACATGACAAATTAAGTAAGTGGATGAAGACACTTATTGAATCATCAACTTCTAGTACTTTCTGAACTGTATTTTTCATCTGATTTATCTGCTCAGTATTAAAACACAAAAGATGAATTTCACAAACAAGGAATGGCACATAAACATTCATCATGACTGAGAACAGTAAGACTACTACAATCCCAACTCAATTAATCTTAAAACAATTTAATGTGGTCAGTTGGCAAATGCCTTTTTTTGCAAAATCCGATACAAGTTCCTGAAGCATATGAGAAGAGCAGGTCTTCCCTAACAGCTTTTTTTTGTGTGTCCACTAGTAGAAACACTCCTCGCTCAACAGTGTACTTCTCCCCCACTGATCACTGGTAAACCATGCTTTTGAAAGTTAGGATCACTTCAATAGCAAACACGAATGCTAACAATGAAAAGATAAGATACATGCTGTCTGAAGAAGATAACAAACTGATACAGAACTTCTTGCACAAGCTTTAATCAAAACCAAAAATAAGAAGAAAAGAGAAAGAGCTTCGCAAATATAGTATTATTTCATATACTGCCACTGTTTCAGATATTTATTGTTCATTCAGTTTTATTCAGTATTTAATCCAGAGAATTCCAAGCATCTTTCCTTCTACAAACAGGATTTTTTTTTTTAAAAAAAAAGGGGGGACGGAGAGTGGAAGGTTCAGATATGGAGTCTGCATTACCATCTACCCAAGCTAATTTATAAACAATAATTCATCATATACTCTGCACATTACATACTGCACAACTGTGACAGAAACAGGAAAAAAGTCAGCTAAGGCCACAGAGCAATTTAGCAGTACAGCCAGAATTAGAGTTCAGCATCCAGATGCTGAATTACTGGTAACTACCGGATTGCAAGCCCTTCTTTTTATGGCCAAATGTCTCCTGGGGGCTGTGAAACTCAAAGCAATAGCTTGAATAAAGCTACCCAGACCACAACTTAGTGGATTCAGAAAAAGTGTGCTTAGGAAGTAGGGTATTTCTCTAGAGAAAAAAAACAAAGCTGCAAAGCAATGACGATTAATATGGGTCTAGTTACTGCAGTCTTAGGAAAAACTTGCAATGATCACACACCATGGAGGATCCATCCAACTGCCTCACAGTACAAGAGGTAGCAGTCTTGTCTCTAACATGGCTAAAGATGAGCTTCTGCTTAAGCTCTCCAGTCCAGGCTTCTGCAAGACTGGAAAAGAAAAACCAAAAGCTGTAAACCCTGATACTTGTGAGTTTTGCTGCTTCTCACAAGATGTCTAGAGTCACTCTACTTTGAGGAAATTGTGGTAAATGTGGGTGTTCTCCTTGTCAAAATGTTTTTAATAGGGAAAAGAAACTAGACAAAAAGCAGCTTGGAAATCCTTGAAGTGCTCTTACATCTACTAAAACCTACCACCTTAAAATTAAGAGTTTTCAAGAACATACCTTCTGAACCCCATACAATCAAAATGTACTCACTTTACAACTGACAGGACTCTTTCCTACTGCTTTACTGAAATCCACAAGTGATTCAAAAGTCTTTTGGCTGGTCATTGGAGTCTTGATGACCTGGGCAGAGGGAAGGTCGGGAGAGCATAAGGACATTTATGAGCTGAATCTCTCTCATTTCCCTGTACAGCAATGATTAAACTGTAACGCAGAACACTATTCCAGAAATGAATAAAACAATTGTTTTGCAAAACCCAGTTTGGGTGGATATATGCGTAACAGACACAGAAATCTATTTTAAAGTTATCTATCTTTCAAATAAGTGACAGCCTCTTAGCTTTTTAGTACATTTCCATGTTGATTTTCTTCACAACTGAGTTTTGTCACATGTAATATTTTCTGTGCTTCAATGGAGTTGGGATGCATTGAGTCATTTATTAGAGACCCATCTCCACACCCACACCCCCACCCCCCCCCAAAAAGAAAAAGACTTGCAGAAGCTGAACTGGTTATGATATTTGTGTTGAAACTATCTCCATGTGCAGTAACTGAAAATGCTATACATAAGCAGTTAAGGCTGACCTCCTTGTTCATACAATTAAGTCACACAGAGATTTCCCCCTGTCCTAATGACTGATGTAAGGCCAACACAAAAAAACCACTGTCAGAACTAAGGAAAAGGCTTGTTTCTCAGCAGAAAAAAGTAGTGTTCTTTGCTTTGACATCAGACAAAAATATCTGAGATACTTCCATAAGACTGCAACAGTTTCAAGAATGAATTTTTAATATACACTTCAGAATTTTGAAACATTAGCACTAGTCTTTTAGTTTATTAAAGAAATCCCCTCAAAGCTTTGTGCTTCTGAGCAGGAGATCAACAGTCTATGAAAATAGCAGATAAGGCTCAAAGGCACTGCAGACTTGTGACCCATGAAGGACAGCTTCCATGACAGATGACTGGCAACTGCAGTAATATCTTTCATAGTTTGGGCAATTCTCTTGATTTCCCCTCAACTACTTCAAACTGAAACATCTGTTTCACACAAAAAATGTTGTTTAACAATGTTTGTCAATGCCAATCCTGATTTACAGCAGTAGTTTTGAAAAAAAAAAAAAAAAAAAAAAAAAAACCCTAAAAAAACAAATTTCAAGATACTGCTTATTTCATGCTACCATGCCTACCTAGATCTGCAGGCTGTTCTTTTTCAGTCTCATACTGGTGCATACGTTAGTGTCGTGTTATTAAATGTCATAAAGTAGTGAGTCCATCACTAGGACAGAAAAAAAAAAAAAAAAAAAGCAAAGCCTTAAAAAGCATATTTCAAGATAAAGTCACTAAAAGCACAGATTCTGTGTTTTTAAGTTCTTCAAATACTATTCATCAACTGGAGCGACTCTGGCTTAAGACATTCAGAAGTCAGGTGAAAAAACCCACAAATTTTAAAGATTGACCACAGCAGTCATACAGGGATTGCTTTGTTTTGTTTTTTACAAACGATGATAGATATCTTCTGTATTTTTCAAACCTCACAGAGGCTTAACTTAGATCTGTAAAGGTTGTAATTTGTTTTAGGCTTGAGACATGGCATAGAACATCTCATCCATAGAAATAAATTACTGCCAACAACTAGTTCTTAGCACAGAAATCAATAAAGCCTATGTTAGCCTAAGGAATTATATAAGTTAGCTCTGACACCACCTACAAAATTCCTTCCTTTCCTTCTTACAACATTTCCCCAGAGCATTTAGTCACTATATCAAATTTGTTCATTTCAGTCAAAAGGTTCAAACATTTCCAAAGGGGGGAGGAAGAGAACAATACATTCAAAGACAAAGAGCAAGCCCCTGCATAATATATATTTTAATGGGGAACAAGCAAAAAATATAATAAAGTGAATCTCAGGAGTTCAAAAGGCAGGCAGAACATATTTGAAGTGCTTGTCACCAAAGCAGTATTAGAACTAATCACTCATGGGACAGAGGAAAAAGATTTACAACACTTAAGGGCATGAAGTACGTGAAACTTTGGGGCAAAGTGGCCAAAATGCAAAGTTTATTTTCCCTTACTCAAGACTTTATAAGTTTTAGCTGATCAAGGTCAGCTGTAACAGGGGAAGGTTAGAAAAAGCAGAAGAGACACCTGTTGTTTTTTCTGCAATGCGATCTTTACTTTGGAGGCTCAGATAAACTCTAGTATTATTTCTTATTCTGCTCTGCATTGCAGTACTATTAGAAATTGCATGATGTAGCCAAAGACGGTATGTTTAGAAAAGATATCTGAAGACTTATGTTAAAGTTTCTTTTTACACTTCCTCAAAGGTTGGGAAATATTCTAATACTTCCAGACAAATCATCTGGAATGTTGAAACAAACATGACTGACTTTGTTTCAAAAGTCACAAGGCAGTAAGATTTCATCTGCACATCATTTTATACTGATTTCTACACTGGTAACAATCAAATTCCTCTGCCAATCACCAAATGATTTTGTTTAAGCTGTCAGTAGTTCTTATTAATCAGCTTGCCTGCGTGCCTAAAATGATCACTATAAATGGCAACACTGTTGACAGTTCAGTGGAGAACCTCGAGACTGAAGGAGCTACCTCTGTCTGTTCAACCTGCCCCTCAACAGAGACTGCACCGCCCTCTTATCACTAGAGGCAGCTTATTCCATATCAGAAGAGCTGCAAACTGAGATCCACTCTTTCATCTAACTGAATTCTTAGTGATGACAATCACTAAGACAGTGGTTGTTATGATGATGTTATAAAACACTTACCTCCACAAGCTTCATCATAGGCACTGGATTGAAGAAATGGAGACCACCAAATCGGTCCTGCCTGGTGGTTGAGTTAGCCAACTGCGTGATTTGCAGGGATGAAGTGTTGCTTGCAAATATCGTATGCCTGGAAAAAAACCCCATATGGATTGTATAAATGACAGCTATTTTTCTGAAAGTAGGAGATTGGTGCCCTAAACATAAATAGACATCCATTGGCTAACCATCCACGGAATTCTCAGAAATATCCCTGCAGATTATTATGGTCCTTTTGCTGAGGTGTAAGTAGAGCAATGATGAAATAACCACTGGAAGGGCTGTGTGAGTTTCTGAGTCCCAGGTATGTTGAATACTTATATTAGGTGACAGAAAAAAAGAATCTGGAAGCAGAAAATTTTTGTTAACTCCCCAAATCTATGCCAGGTAATTCCTTCAGCAATCCTGGAAACCTAATGGTATTTTTCATTGTTAATCATTTACCCATCTATGAAAACCCAATCATTTGCCATGTCACAAATGCACTTTGGAGTCTTCAGAAAAATTTGGAATCTATTTTTTTTTTAATAATGATCAATGACAGAAACGATGAAGAAAGCTACCACCAGAGCGAAGAGCTGATGTAAAAACAGAGAAAAGAGAAAAACTGCCATGCATGGGACACTGCAAAGGATACACAAAATCACAAGAGTTTTAAGACATATATGAAGTCCTTTTCCACACATAAACCAGATTTACTAACTGCAATTTATAATGGTTTGGTTTTGGTTGGGTTTGGTTTTTTTTTCCCCCAGAAATATCTCAGAACCTCAATAGCCCTGCTATACTGACAACACACCAAAAACTTACAGAAAGGGCTTTATCTTCAAATCACAAAAATTAGAAACTAAATTAGAGATGAAACCCTATCTTCCATTATGGACTGTATCCTACTGACCTTTCAAAAAGTTATCCTATGGACTCATCAAATGTTAATCTATATTGGTATTTTGTTTACATTTCACCGAGTTATAATCGAGCTTTGCAACAGAGCTTTCGGAAAAGTTATGTCCAAGTCATGTGGACATCTTATAGCGGCATCCAAAAGAAAACGTTCGGGGATAAAAAATCCCACACTGATTTCCATTTTTTTGTTACGTTTTCTCAGTTTTTGAGAATTTGTTACAGAGAGGGAAATAAAAAAGCCTGCCAATTCCTATTTACACTTCTTACAAATATTCTTGTGTTATTTCCCCACCACAAAATGGGCCTTCTATTGTTCTGAGGTGGGGTACTAAAAAGAGCATTCTACATTTCATAGTTTTGACCTTGCAAGGTCAAGATGCTTATCTTCACTGAAAATCTGCCACGATACACGAAGAATTCAAATATCCATATAAAAACTAATGAGCACATTGATTTGTGAGATGTAATCATTGCTAGGTTTGCATCTGGGCTCACTTAAAGTAAGAGATTTTACCTCTGTGGGTGAATACTGTAGCCTCACACAACAAAAAAGCATTATATTTCTATTGTGTAGAAGGGCATTTTATTTACACTTTTGCTCTGACCAACCAATTGATTTAAATTGACTTTAAAATAGAATTGACATGCCTCTGTGACTTAGAATTACATAATCCGTGCTTCAGGTGACATCAGATTTGGAAGGCTTTTGCAAGCAACAGCAAAGCCCTAGCAAGGCTTTTCAAGGCACCAGCGTGCTTTCTCTTGGTGCCATCTAGTGGGTCATGGGAAGACATTAAAAACAGAGTCCAAGACAAGAGAAACATACCATTTCAATAAAACCAACTCTTACAGTCCAGCTCCGTTATGCAGTGCACACTGCACAACACTTCTTTTGTAACAGATTTATAACACACTGATGCTAACACAGTGAACAGCTGGAAATCACTGGCCAGTTCCTAGCTGAGTTTCCACATCTAAAGATAAATCCTAGACCAAGACATGTCGACAGACATTCTCACCGCCTAGAAATAAACAGAAAGCAAGTAGGCAAGAGCTCTTAAAGTGGATACCCAAGAATTCTGCCTTGTTCTTTACAATCCTGTTTGGAAAAGTGCTGCAAAGTGTTTAAAAGGCCTAAAACCCACAAAGAACATGGGGATAGTCTACAAAAAGCCTAGCCCGACCTTTTAAAAATGAAAACGTGAGACAAACTCAACTCAAGAAAAGGAAAACTGAACTGAAGAGTGCGTAGCAATGCTTTTATCGCCCGCTCTGAGGATGATGACCATGTAACACATTAACAACAACGATACTAGGAGGACAAGTATAACACTGAGAGGAATATAACATACACAAGCAATTTTGCAAAGCTCTAAGAACATAAACCAGTATGCTCTCAAGACTGATGGCATCCAAGAAACAGTAATCACCATTTCACCCGGACAGTTACCCAGATGAGGAATATCCTGAGTTCCCAGTGCTCTCTGGGGTTGCCAAACTCTACGGGCTCATTACATTCTCTCTGAAAACTTAAGAGAATTTCACTCCCCACACCCAAATGAAACTCCTCTCAATGAAGAATAAGGTTTACCACCCCCCTCCATTTATAGATCCACTTTCAGAGAAATTATAGTTATTTTATAGAGAAAAATGAAGAGGAAAGAAGTTAATTGTGTTTTTGTTTTTTAATGCAGCGCTTTGGTTTTGTGCTGTCCCCAGACTTATCTTCATTGAAGAGGTCATCACAGTGAAAAAATGGGAGAGGAACATGTAGCTGTTGCAGCTGAGGTTTCATACAGCTTATGTTCCACAAGCATAATTCATCATCTGGTCTGAGCAACTGTAATACACAGCCCCTTATGTTTTGATCAGCTACCTGGCATTTGAATTAAGTCAAGTGCCCCCTCCTCAGAAGCCTAGTCTTTCATGATCCCTGCCTATAACATACACTTCACAGTACCATTAATGCCCCACGGAAACAAAGCTTCTCCCGAGACTCAAAGCTGGTTTTAAACAAATCTTGTCTTCGTTACCAATCAACCACAAGGCCACCACCCCCATTAAGCTGATGCAACAGTTAGCCTACATACTAGTTTTAGAAATTTTGAAAAGTTGAATCTTAGTGAAGGCTGTAGGACATCTGCACTGACAGGGAGAGCTTTCTGTTCCACCGCAGTGCCATGCGGGATGAATCAAACCTACTGCTTCCTTCCACGCACAGCAAAACGCCCGCTAGGCTTTTCCACCTTTCCTCACACTACTCGCGTGATCTACAACTCTATGTTCCTCACATAATTGCAAGTTACTATTTGCATCTAATAGCTAATGTTTTAGACACTTGGCTACTAAGTTTCAGTATGTTGCTAGCTTTTCTTTCTTTCCATCTAGACTTTCTACACTGCAGCCCATATTCTTCACCATTCACTTCCCTTTTCTTTATCTTACATGTAAGGTATCTGTATGTTTATCACCGTTTCTCTTAAAACAGAAGGTTTCTTGTCTCATGTCATTTTTCCCAACCCTGCAAAATCATGACTTTTGCCACAGGAAAGAGCATATCTGAACAAGTCCCAATATCTTTTAACAGTCTAGAATGCAAAATTTGATGTTTTAAAGCAGCTATGCTTATAAACAGCTCAGTCTTACAAAAAATAGCCTCAGGTGTTCCAAATGTACATACTATTAAATAAGGCTCCAAGTCCCTGTGCACTTTTCCTTGCTGACTGGTTCTAGACAGTTTGCCATTTAGTACACTCTAATTTGCTCATTAGCTTTCCCTGCTGAGTATGAACAAAGACTGAGGCAACCAGTGGTCTGTTTTCACAAAATAAGCACAGTCTAATCATGACAAGGTACACTGATAATTGCTGAAGGCACCTACTTACTTTTGTCCATCAGACTAAGGTAACAGCAGGCGACCCTGTGCTCAGTGCACTGCTGTTTGTGATCATTTATTTTTTCAGAAGTACCAGCTAATTTTGATTACTGACCATATGAGACAGCCTGAAAATCTCCCCAGGCAGAAGTCAACGATAACATCTTTTCTTCCTTGACATTTATATTCAAGCTGCAGCTTGCTTAGTTCTTCAGTTAGACAGTCTAGAATACCTCTTAGCCAACAGCCCCAGATTTAGCTGTACTAGTTAAAACTCAACCTGCAAGCAGTCAAGGTCTTGTGATCCTGAGTCACCCATTACAAGGACCAAGCTTCAGAGACTGTACACTTGCTTAACAGCATTTTTGGGCTCTGATAGAATTCAACAGTAACTTCCAATACTTATCAAATGTAGTTCAAAGAAAGTCCCGGGGACTGCAAGTAATTGAGTGCATGCTAAGAAATTATTTACACTTCTACCTCACACACAATAACCAGCAATAAGCTATCTCCAAACTCTTGTAATACAAAGTAAACTTAGTTCACTTAAGCCACTGTTGAGCTGACTGTGACTTAGAAGCTAAGAGGCTGAGACTTCTTAAAACTTGTTCATGCTAGGCATGCTAAAACCAAAATATTTTATCATCCCAATTCCCTGTTTAAATGTGGGAACACATACGTTAACCATACCTCGTGTGTACCAGGACAAGCTTATTCTACTGTTGTGCATTTGGATTTGAACTTGCTGAGTAGATGGACAAACCTTATGACTAAACATACTCAGAAGCACATCAAATGAAGCAATGCAACATGTAAATAAACCTGAATACACCTGACAATGTTTGTAGCATATGCACCTGGCACAACAACTATTCCATACTACATGACAGCCTGGCGTTGGTCTAAGGGAGAAAAACTCCTGTTTTTTTAAAAAAGCAGCTAAGACAATGCATAACTAATGATGTAAGAATAAAACCAGAAGATACAAAGGTCTAAGTTTCAAAACGTAACAGGAAAAATACACATACTCTGGAGCAAACTTATCCAGCCTCTTGAAGAGTTCATTTTTAATTTCCTGGTTCTCCACAATGGCTTCTATCACCAGATCCGTGCTGTGGACCACTGCTACTGCATCTGTGCTTGTTGTGAGGTTCTTTAAGGTCTTCTCAATGAACTCAGCACCAGCCTGAAACATTTCCAAGAAGTTGCAATGTCTTTTTACAATGATAAAACTTATTTCTACATGAAAATCCCCTTATGTGCTCTGAAGTGTTTTGGAGCCCTCAAAAATTCAGCCAGTCTGCCACATTTCCAAATTAGTGAGAAAGTTCTGAGTATATACAGATACAATGCTTTCACTGACAAAATTTTCCTAGCCAATCAAATCTGCTTTGAAGCAAAATAGGAGATCTTTGAGTTCATTCTTTCAGGAAGACTATTTGCTGCAGTCCAACCTTTCAGCATAAAGAGTCTGAGCTGGTTGGTCAATCAGTGGTTTCTGAGACAACATGGACTTGCCCTCCATAAAGAGGAAATTTTCCAGTTTCGAACCCTTGCATTGTTTTCATTCAGTGTGTATCTGGTTTCACTCCTATGAACAGATACATGCTTGTTCATGAATACTTCGGGAAATGAAATGGCCTACACTCATTATGGTTTCAGTGCAAATGCGGAGGAAAGAGTTATTCTGTCTTCTAACTAATAAATCTGCCAATCACTGACATAGTCTGTGAGGACACAAATCAAAGAGAACTGCAAGACTTTGAACCAAGGGTAAATGGAGATGTAGTACAAGTAAAAACACACCTGCACGCTAGAATATAACGTCACATATAAAGCACAAGCTTCATGTGGACAATTTTCTTTCAGATTAAAAGACTCCCCATAATTATGTACAGGAAATTATATTGCTCTGGTTATCCTGGTATTACTATAAATTTTCTCCTGTACTTCCTCATGCAAACAAGCCCTTTTTCATTTCCTTTGCTGCATCATTCATGCTGGTAATCATCAATACCAGTATATATTATATATGTTAATATGTATCAAAAGAATTAAATCTGCTGTGGAATTTAGAGAAACAGGCATAGCAACAAATAACCCTGAGGATACTTAGGGTATAAGTTTAGATGCATCAGCTACATGTATTACTCAGCAATGTAAATGCAAAGTACCTCATACAAGTCTTAAAAAAAATCCTTACAAAGGTATTAAGACAATTTTGTTACTATTGGGTTTTGCACAAAATTGGTAGGATTTGGACAAAATAAGCACTCAAAGATAGCTTGCTATTAAGTTAGGATGAATAATTTCGCACCACTTCACATTTAGCATGTTTTAAAAGGTCACCAAGTGGTTTTAAATCTTTATCTCAAGGCTGAAGTCTACAAAGGAAATAAAATAAGACATCTTCCAACCTCCCCAAATCAAGTAAAAAAAAAAAAATCCAAGTTCTTCAGCAGAATGGAAAATATTTTCTTTTTAAGCCAGTATATTAATATGCTCTCTAATACATAACTGTACACAGTATCAGAACTTCAGTATGGTAGTTTTATTCTCCTAAGTTTTCCTAGAGGTATAAAGAAGATGATGTCAACCTCGGGCTTATCTGCAAATTTCTTCTTTGTCACTCTCTTCAAACTCTCTTCAATTCCTTTTGTAGACTTTTTAAGGATTTCATCTGACTGGTCTACTAACACCACAGTGTGACCACTGGCTGCTGCAACCTGAAAGTTAAAAAAAAAAAATGATTCAACATCAGTATCATAAACCCAACCATACTGACTTGTGTGTTGGGGCAGACAATACACAAGGCAATGAATTAGGCAAAAGAGAGATGAAGTACATTGAATCAAGACTTAGGTGCTTTACTAGAAAAATCATTGAAACCTGCACACAGTTGGGATGGAGGGGAAGGGATAAAGGTCTCAAACAGTGTGAGAGAAAAGGAAAAAGAAATCCATTTTTCCCCCAAGCTGCCTGCAGAACGCTACCTGTGGCTATGGCTAGAGAACGAACAGCTGTCTTGAAAAGAGCAAGTGGCTTAGCTGTGATCCTTGGATCTTGTAAGGAAAAAGGGAGGGCTGTGCAGACCAAAACTGGAACTCTGGCAAGGCGCGCGGGTGGCATAAGGCATGGCTAACCCTCTGTTCCTGGGACGTAGCGTAACACAACTCTGCTGTTAGGCCATGAACACGTCCCCGGAACAGCGGGAAGGTGACAACAGAGCTGGGAGCAGCAGCGTAAAGTTCGCCAGTCTGGGACCCTGCACAGACCTGAACGGCCCTGTAAACCCTTCTTACTATGCACTTGGCACAAACACCGGCTCAGCTACAGACAGCACTACCAGGCTGTCTTTCTGGTTGGTATTTGACTAATTTCAAACATATAATGTCGCTTCCTCACATTGCAACAGAGTATTAAAAATCAGCTGTTCATTATCTCTTAGTTCAGTATTCATCAGTTTATGTTTCTCTTGTTAGTTAGCAACAGCCTGTCTTCACTTTCAGAATTCTTGAACTAACAGAGTTGCAACACAGTAACTGTGGAAAACAGATGTTAAAATATGGTTCCACTGGCTGTGGAAGTCACAAAATTTAGGAGCTTAACCTCCTGCAAACTTTCACTTTACATCTAACCTTGCACCTGGAGACTAGAGATTCTCCTGTGCCCACAAGACCTATGCCAACAAAGCTAGCTGAAATGAAAAATATAGAGACGTATCCTGAGGAAAACCAAGGCACTATTCTCATCCAAGGTGCCTCACTAATCCAGCAAATAAATGCCGGACTGGCTCTGGACAGCAGCAGTACAGCTTTAACAAGGCATCAGTCTGCAGCTGGACTTTTCCATCTCTTTTGAATTATTTTTTTATTTTCACTATGGTCATTTACTAAAAACAACTGAATCATAAAAAAACGTTTAAACCGAGCTTGGACTTGCACTCCTAACACTTCATCTGTTGCTCAGCATTTGCAATGGCAAAGCAAGACCCTCCACTCTTCAAAAGAAAAATCAAGACCAAGCACATTCATAAGAGATGCTTCCCTGATTATCCATTTACGACTGCACCATCACTGACCAGTTGGCAAAATATCCTAGAAAAATTAACATCTCCCTTTTCCCACGTCATTCTTACCATATTTACATAGACAGGAAAGAAGAAAAATGGCAAAGGTCACACCACCTCCTTGCAATTCAACCACATGCCCACTCAGACTCTCCAATGACGTTAAGAATACTAAATAAGAAACACAAGAGTGCTGGGGACTCAGTTAATGCTTCTCTCATACAGAAGTGCTTTTCACGTGGCAGAATCATGAGTTACAAACCCCTGGCTTTCAGCCATGCATTTTAGTAGAGGGTAGTTTCCCCTGACAGTATGAGAAAGCAAGGAAAGAGGAGAGACACCTTCTAAGGGAGGAGCAGCTTTATTAATAGGGTGCAGAGGAGACCCCACTCAGTACTACAATCATGACCACTTTGAGATAATTTTGGATTGATAAATTGGAGACAGATGGTCAGCAAAGCAATCCTTGGTCCTTAGCAGCGGTAGAAGACTGCAACCCCTGTTACTGCCAAATGCCAGACATGTTTCTCTTGACAAGCTGCTCTCAGAAAACATGCAGTCCAAAGCAATATGCAGAGCAGTTCACCTTCCCTGCAGACCACCTTTGCGTAGTGTGCATCTTCCTCAAACGTGAGAACTACTTTCTCCAAAGTTGTTCTTTGATGGTTCCTTCAGTGGAAACCTCAAGCTCTAGCATCAAGGTGCAGAGCAGTGTTTTTACCAGACAAGTTTACAAACGACTAGCTAATTCCTTAGCAAAAGAAATAGCCTGTGTTCCTCCCACTAGAGATTTGCCAGGAATGTGAGAAATCTTCAGTTCTGAGAAGGAAACCCATTAATTCATGAAAATGGGGAAGTGCTATTTCTGAATTCCAGCCTCACTGACGGTTTCCACCTGGGGATGCGTGCATACTCCAGTTACTCTTGGTGAAGCCTGTTAACTACCCTGGTATCTTGGGCAACAGGCTCTTTCTGTGATTAGGTAAATATCTAAATCTTAAATCACTGACAGGACCATTCAGTCTTCTGTCCCAAAGCTATCAAGTTAAAGATGAACTTGAAAGCCAAAGGCCTGAGATTAAACACTGGGAAAATAAGTCCTATTTAAATGTTAACCACATCATAATTCTGCAGATGACTGACAGCTTAAATGTTCGTTTTCTTATGATGCTGTATTCAACTTTCATAATGCTGTATTCAACTTTAATAACTTGTAAAAATGTCACTTGATCTGCTCCCTTGGCAAGTTAGAAGCTTCTTTCTTGGACCTACATTTTCCAAATACTATTGCAGAATCACGGAATCACAGAATGGCAAGGGTTGAACGGGACCTCGGGAGATCATCCAGTCCAAGCCTCCTGCTAAAGCAGGTTCACCCAGAGCAGGTTGCATAGGACATCGTCCAGGCAGGCTCTGAGTATCTCCAGAGAAGGAGACTCCACAACCCCTCTGGGCAGCCTGTGCCAGTGCTCTGTCACCCTCAAACATACTTGTTACACACTGTCTGGTTTATAAATAGTCCACACACCGTCTTAAGAACGACTCTTAATGAAAATTCCATAGAGCTTGCTGTAACTACAGGGTTAAGACTAGATTGGGGTAGGCATTGTTAAAAAATGGGCAGATATAATTATGCCTTCAGTCCATGATGAACTTGCTCAGTTGTCCCCTGTACAGCTCCCTCCATGGCTGGGTTAACCACCAGCCGAGCTGAATCAGTGGAAGAAAGTTAGCAAACAGAAATTAAGGTTAAGCAATACAAAGGTATGGTAGGAGTTTTAGACTTAGAGATAAGGTAAGGATGTCTTGCAACTAAGGTCAAGGGTTAGAATTTAGAATAAGTTAACAAAGAACACCAAGCTTTTGTACCACCAGAGGATGAAGACAGTGACATCTGAAACGGACCAGACGAAGCAGAACTGCGACAGGACTGAGACGGAACATACCAGCAAAGGAAAACTGAGAACTTTCTACTGACCAAGAACAGAGGAATCGAGAATGCAGCGAAAACTTAGAGTAGCCTTTGTCTACTATGTAATCATGTTGAAAAGGTATATAAGGTGTAAGGTGTATTTTTTACATTGCCTCAGTGACGGCCCAACTCCGAGTTGTGAATAAATGCAAACCTAGAGTAACCCAGAGACTCATGAAATTCTTTAACAACCACCCTAAATAATTTAAAACATTGACCTTGGTGGCTCTTGCCCACCCATCTGACCTGAAGATGTGCGGATTAGGAAGGGAACAAAAAGGTTGAAAGCTCAGCAACTGGGCAGCTGCGGCGCTTTCTACTCCTCTCCTGCGACCAACCCCAAATTCACACAAGTTGGCAGAACGGGCGCGTCCCTCCACGCTCCCAGAGCCCTCATCCTCGGGCTGCGGTGAAGACACACTGCCAGCGCCCCGAGGCGCCTTGCCCAGGGCCGCGAGACTCACGGCCTGCCACAGCAGGCCCCCTGGTCCGGACGGTTTGCAGAGCGGGATGTCGGCTGCTCTGTTGTCCAAAAAGCGGATTCGTGTCCCGGTGTGCGATCAGTCACCTGCCACACGCTGAGGAGAGACAGACGGCTCCGCTGCGAGAGCGGCCACGGCTCCTCACACGAGCATGGGCTGAGGAAAGCGCAGCGTGAAACAACTGGGACACGAACTACGATGTATTCAGACAAGTTTTGTTGCGTTGCTTTTGGGGGACTTTTTTAACGCTGCTCCTGCCTTGCCGCCCGGGGAGAAGACCTGCGCGGCAACTCGACCCCGTGCGGCGGGCAAGGCCGGGCCAGCCGCGGGCACCACCC